CGGAAAAATATGAAAAACATAGTAAAACGAATTTATAAAGAAAGTCGATCTTATTTCCGATTCGCGTAAGAGCGTTGCGATCATTACAAGGAATTACAAAGGCTTTGGCCGCAGGGGCCATCAGCGAGTTACAAACATAAAACCCTAGATCTAGTCGAGTCGCAGCTCGATAACGAAAAACGGAAAAAGATAGGAAAAAGGTTTGAATGATTTCGGACAGAACCTTATGAAAGGCTGCCTACGTACCCCTTTCGGGGATCAAGTCGAACGTAGTTCAGTTGGTAGAGCTAGACCAGAGATCGAACTGCCTGGGCGAGTTCGTCTAGTAATTGAGCGCCAGTCATAGAAACCGAACTTGTAGAGAAAAAGCCTAAGTTTCTAAGTGCGGAAAATTCTAAGTTTAGAAAAGTTGTGAAAGTCTCAGATGAGAGCTCTGGATTTCGTCCCTCTCTTCTGCCCTACGCCTCTGGTTTATATACTCCTTGCCTTGACGGTTCGATCTTTCCAATTTGCCGGATTTGAGTATTTCGGGAATCTTCCATTTTTCTCGATCCTTCCTTTTCTTCCGCGGAAATCTTCTATTTATCTTCAAACTTGCCTTTCTTTTCCTTCTGCGAATAAACCGTCAAAACGTTATCAAATCTGCGGGTTAGATTCCATTGAAATCGCGAGATGGGTTTTTATCGCGTTTTAGGTCCTTCCGGGCCGTTTTGCGATAAAAACCGTTTTCCGACTTTTTAAGGGTTTGTTTCCTGATCTGACGTCGTTTTTAATACATTACTCGAGTTAATCGCAAGGTTTCACGATTTACTCGACTTTTGATTAAAAACACGTTTTTTACGACTTACTCGGCGTTTTTTATTAAAAACACGTTTTTTATTAAAAACACGTTTTTACGTTTTTACTCGGCGTTTTTTATTAAAAAGCGCGTTTTTATGATTTTAACGAGAAATCTCGAATAAATCGTATATTTTAGGCAATGTTCGGTGTTTCGTTTAACCGTTGCCGTTTTATACGATTTCCTCGAGTTCTTTCCGAGAAAGCGAAGCTTTACGGTTTTTATCGTAAAACTCGAACGGTAAGTCGGATCGAGATGGAACGGGACAGGTTTTAGCCGAAGTTTAGAATGCGATCGTGTCGAAAGACGTAAGTTTTAAATCGGGAATGCGGGAGATCGAGGGGCGGGATATCCGAGAAGTCTTTAGTTCGCCCATCGGCGAACTAAGCCGGGGGCCGGCTTAGTTCGCCGATGGGCGAACTAGTGGAGTGATTCCTAGTTCGCCCATCGGCGAACTAAGCCGGGCCGGCTTAGTTCGCCGATGGGTGAACTAGTGGAGTGTCCTTAGTTCGTCCATCGGCGAACTAAGCC